GCTGCCTGTGTTGCTGAGTGCTGGGACCAGCTGGAGCTCTGGATTTGAGAGCTGAGAGCAGCAGGGAATCGTGTCTCCACGGACAGGAGCCGGATAAAGCTGGTGAGTACAGCTTGGGGCCCCTTGGGAGAACGGAAGAGGATGGCAGGCTGCCAGGTCTTGGAGGACTGTGGGAGGCTCACTTTAAGAAGTTGAGCAACCTGGCTGCTGATCTGAAGTCTACTGTTCTGGGTGCCAGGAAGCCAGAGGCCGTTCAGCGCTCCAGGGTGTTTGTGAGGCTGGAGGCGGGAAGCAAGGGCTGGGAGATGGCTGCTTCAGAACAGAAAGACAAGATGGCGCTGATCACCTTCGTGAGAGCCGGTGCACAGCTGGGAAGGGCTGTGGGCCCCAGAGGGGGGCAAAGGGACTAAGGGCTGCTTGGAAATGTGCTGCGTTTGCTGTGAAGCTTCAGCAGGAGGCCAGAGCCCTGGAGAAGGAATACAAAAGCCTAAAGATGGCTGGAGCCCCTGTCCCTGATGCTTTAGCCACAAGGAGTGCTGCTGAGCAGGTCGGGGGGGGGCGAAGATTTCCAAAGGCACGTTTAAAGTTTTCCACTGTACGTGCTGGAATCAAGTGGAGGTTCAGAGGGGGCGGAGCTGGCAAGGAGTGCTTTTCCGGAAGAAGGAGAAGGAGGCCAGCGGGAGGAGCCCAAAGCAGTGTTTTTCCACTGGAGTTCGTCATTGCTACACGTGTAATGCGGGACGCTTGCGACGCTGCTGCCCATGGAGAGCGGAGACAGCTGGGCAGGAAGGTCCCAAGGACGCCAGCGTGGGAACGCAAGGGAAAGACGTGTCTCAGACACTGGGGAGGGTTGTTTCTTATCACTGCTTCTATGGCAACTGTGAAGAACAACTCCAGCCAGGACACGGTGACACGCTGGGTGTTTTGGTTTCTGCTATCAGGCAGCACCTGATAGGCAAACTGCGGAACTGCAGGGCTGTTTTCTGCAGGAACATTTGTTTGTGCTGTGGCTAACGTGTTTTTTCTGTCCTTCACAGGGAGGAGCAAGAGGTCTACGTTGTGCCGGGACTGAATAGTTGTCGGTTATCTGTATCTGCTCTAACGAAGCAGGGGTCCAAAATGTGCTTTGAAAATGACACCTGTTCCATTTTCAGAGGGGGGCGACAACGGGTCAACATGGCGAAGAGCAAGAACAACGTTTTTGTTCTGGAGTCACCTCTGGAGGGTGGTGGGAATGCTGGAAAAAGCACAGGTGCAGTGTGCTAAGGTTCCCAAAGATGTGCAAAAGTTGCACAGGTGCACAAAAGGGTACAAACTCCGGAAATGTGGGAGGTCCCAAGGGTGCAGGGCATGCAAAGGTGCAAAGGTACTTGGTTTTCCCGGGTTTGGGAGGGTAGCCAAGGAGCTTTTGAGCTGGTTCACACAGATCTGTCAGGACCCAAGAGGTCTGAGAGTCTGGGTGGGGCCAGGTATGTGCTGTCGCTGACAGGTAACCACAGCCAGGTTGGCTGGTGTCTCTCTCTCAAATCACAGGGAGAGGCGGCGCAACTGATCAAGGATTGGGTTGCGGAGGTGGAACTAAAGTTTCCACCAAGGTGCAAGGGTTCAAGAGCGACCGAGGGTCACAGTTTACTGGGTCTGCTCTGGAGGAATTTTTCAAGGAAAAGGGAATACGTCACCAGGTGACGGGGTGCAAAGTCTTCTCAAGGGAGAAGGGAGGCTGTTGCTGAGCCCGGTGACGGGGATCAGGTCCAGAATCAGGGTTCAAAACCCGGTGATGGGGGCCAAGTCCAGGGTCAGGGTTCAGGGCAGGTTTGGGCATCTCCAAGGGTTGTGAAAGGAGTGTCCAGGTGTGAGGCTTCATCTCCGGTAATAGAGAAAGCTCACGGAAGGGTTGTCAAGTCAGGAGGGGAAGAGTCTGACGGAGAAGACACAACTGCTGGCCCTAATGGGTCAGTAGGGTATCAGGTCACAGGTGCGTGGAAAAGTGTCGCACAGTGTGATTCTGGGAGTGTTGAAGGGGTTCAACAGGTGCCTGGGAAAGATGCCGGGAAGGGGCACAAGGCAAAGGGGAAGGTGTTGAACTCAAAGGTCTTGTCAGAATGTGATGCAAGAGGGGGTGTTGGAGTTGGAACTTAACTGGTTAAGAAGTTCCCAGGATGCCTCAATTCTGACGTCAGCTTATGGAAGCTGGGAGGAGCCTGGGAGGAGTTTCTGTCTGTTCCCCTCTGGTCGCTGAGGGAGAAAGACGTAGCCGGTAATGGCTGCCAGGAGCCCAGGGGGAATCCCTGGGGGAATGTCGGAATAAAGAGTTGAAAAGGACAAACCTGGACTCTGTGTGTGTTTGTCTGGAAGCTAAGGCAAAGGACGTGACAGTTTCATCACCGCTGTGCTTATCTCTGCTACTGGCGTGACTGGAGCTGACTGAAGAGCTGCTGGAGACGGAGCAGAGTCTCGCAGGGAAGTGTGCCGGGCTGCAATAGCTAATTGAGGACCAATAAATCAATTAGCGGGAGTCGCGCCAATATCGTAAATCACCACAGATACTACCCATAATGCCACCGAAAAAGCTTTGCAATGTCCCTTTAAGAAAATAAGGAGAGGGGCTTACCATCCCATTACTGGCAGACTCATTCCTCACCCCAGAAAGCCAGCAGGATGGATTCCTTCATGGTCTATGATCTGAAATTTTTGGATACTTTTACTGGCTCTGAATGTGCAGAGCTGTTGGTGCTCCGTCAAGCACAAATTACTGGCAAAAGCATTCTCTAAAAGTAGCCATTTGGCGCTGCAGGGAAAGGCAGCGGGACAAGGACTCAGTGAGCACAGCATGATGGGGCTTCATTTATGATGCCTCTGAGTGGGAAGAAGCAGATCCCAGTAGGTGTCATTAAAGCCACATGTTAGCAGCAAATCTGCTAGCATTTAATCTCTGTGCCAGCGGGTCACCTGCTGATGAGAAGGATGGAGGGGAAGGGCAGCTGTGGCATTCAGCAAGGTGGATTTGTACAAGCTGTAGCACTGATTTCCCTCCCTCGTCCTGATGGAGAGGATTATTTAAGAGTTCTCGCTCCACCTTCCCTAAGGAGAATATTTGAGATCTGTTCCCTACTACTTGTGATCTTGAGGGTCCCCTGCTGTTGGTCAGAATCGACCACACCGGACCAAATCGGACCAACAAGCTGACATGGTACAAGGCATCTTCCAATATTCTTATTACTGTACAGTGGTACCTCGGGTTAAGAACTTAATTCGTTCTGGAGGTCTGTTCTTAACCTGTTCTTAAACTGTTCTTAACCTGAGGTACCACTTTAGCTCATGGGGCCTCCCGCTGCTGCCGGGCCACCGCAGCAAAATTTCTGTTCTGATCCTGAAGCAAAGTTCTTAAACCCGAGGTACTATTTCTGGATTAGCGGAGTCTGTTAACCCTGAAGGCATCTGTAACCTGAAGCGTCCTGTACCTTGAGGGTAAGGTAAAGGGTAAAAGGGACCCCTGACCATTAGGTTCCAGTCGTGGCCAACTCTGGGGTTGCGGGGCTTTATCTCGCTTTAATTGGCACGAGGGAGCTGGCGTAACAGCTTCCTCTGGTAGCGAGTCTGTAACCTGAAGTGTCTGTAACATGAGCGTCTGTAACCCCGAGGTAAGGTAAAGGTAAAGGGACCCCTGACCATTAGGGTCCAGTCGTGGCCAACTCTGGGTTGCAGCGTGCATATCGCTTTATTGGCCCGAGTGGGAGCCGGCGTAACAGCTTCCGGGTACATTGGCCCAGCAATGACTAAACGCACTTTTCTGGCGAACGCAGAGCAGTGCACAGAAATGCCGTTTACCTTCCCGCCAGAGCAGTAACCCTTTTATCTACTTGTACTTTGAATGTGCTTTTTGAACTGCTAGGTTGGCATGAGCAGGGACTAAGCAACAAAGAGCTCACCGACCGTCGCGGGATTCGAACTGACCCTGATCGGCGCCCCCAGGCTCTGTGGTTTACGCGCCACCCCCGTTTACCTTCCCGCCAGAGCATCTTTATCTACTTGTAAGTGCTTTGAACTGCTAGCAGGAGCAGGGACTAAGCAACAAAGGAGCTCACCCCGTCGCGGGGATTCGAACCGCCAACCTTCTGATCGGCAAGCCCCAGGGCTTCTGTGGTTTAACCCACCAGCGCCACCCGCGTCCCTCCTGTAACCCGAGGTACCAATGTACAAATAAATTTTGCTGCTGGAGCTGCTCAGCACACCCTTTTGTAGCACTGCGTTTGGCTCTTCCACTCTCTCACCCACACAGGCAGGGGCTGAAACTGTCAAACGTTTCTGACGCCCCCTTCCTACTGTGATGCCAGCAAGGCGCAGGATGAATGGATGACTCAGCCCACGTACCCTCTCTGCAGCTGCTGGGGCTTCCAATTTGCACTTTTGTCTCTGCGGTGCTCCAGCCATACTGTGCAAGTGTCTGACAGCGCCGATGGGAGAGGGGAAGCTGGCTTGTTTGTTCCACAAGCATCTGGACAGCTCTAAAAGGCCCTCTTCTTGCAGAGAAGACCCACACCCCCTGTGGCTCAGCCATCCTGGCACCTGCAGTCAGCTAGGCTGGGCCCTGGCAAAGGGAAGGAGTCCTCACCAGCCCAGCTATGCTGGCTGCCATTCACTGCCCTCCCAACCAGGCTCCTGGGTGTTTTGTTGTTCTTATTAAGGATTTTCTTGGTGGCAGACCAAGACCCTAGTTAAAGGGGAAGGGGACAGACTGATAGGGGGCAGTATGGGGGACAGACAAAGTGGCCGGCATGTATCCTGGCCCTGAGCTGAGCTTCTTGGAGTAAAAGCTGGCTGGAAAAGTCATTGGCATTTGTTTGGAAAAGTGCATGCCCTGAGCATGTGCAGAGTGCTTTCATCTTACACCATCATCTTTCCATATATGCAGAGCTTCAGATCAGAAGAGAGAAGTTTCAGCCCAATGCGAATCCATGTCTGCTTTTTCTTTCTCCCCCCTCCGTTTTTTTTAAAGGGAGGGGAATAGGCATTGGAGAGCGAGGGGCGGGTAGAAATGCCGGACGAGGCGGTGAAGGCGTCTCTGACGCTGGGTGAAACAGAAACCCACACGGTCCTTCCTCCGCTCGTATCTTCTCCTGCAAACTCTTGCAGAACGCAGAGAAAGGCGCGAGGAAGAGGCTCCACAGATGCGCGGCGACTGCGCGCGCCAGGGAGAGAGCCAGCTTCGGAGGGAGGCGCGCAGCGCGCATCCACACGAACACGCGTCTGCAGCAGCAGGAGGAGGAGGTACACGCGGAGATCTTGACGGAAGGGTAAACGCACGAGGCACATGGGAGGGGGGCGCGTGGGGTTTCTTCTTCACCATGTCCCTCTGCTCCCGGGACAAGCTGGACTGGAACCATCTCGCTCGAAAGGAAAGCGGAGTGACACCGCTTAGGCAAGATTCGGGAGCGGAGGGAGGTAGAGCTGTAAACGGGCAGCCGGCAGCCGCGCCCCCTCCCCGCATCGGGACACCTGCGCCTTGGCTTTTTCTTTAGTGGGGCGTGAGCGTTTCTGCCTCTCCCCTCCTCCATCCCATGAAGATGAACGTGTGAGTGCTTCAATAACACGAATAATTCATTCCAATTGTCTTTTGTGCTACTGGGGACCGTAGGAGCCAACGGCTGGGGCCGAGGGGGTCTTGGACCCCCCATAAAATATTTGAGGGGTCCAGCCCCCCACCCCAAAGTTGATGGGCATTGCCATTCAAATGATGTGCATGCACCGTGTCATGTGATTGATTATGGGTGGGTGATGCTTACCTGCCCCACTCCCAAATATTTTATTCAAGTTGGCACCCCTGCTGGAAACTGAGGTAGCATCTTTTGAGGTGTATGAGAGAGACTCCCCGGGGTTTGTGTGATGTATCCAAACCCACCAGGCGGAGGACATGAAAGGAGTGGCCTTTTAACCAGCAGCCGAAGTGGGAGCAGCGGTGGAGTCAGGGTCAGTCATCACAACTGGTCACATCCAGTTCCAAGAACGTGCAGGTGATTTCTCCCACTGTCAAGACTTTTTGGGGACGGGGTAATGTGAATTTGAGGTTGAAGGAGGGCCCCCTAACCCTGTATTAGTTGTAACCTAACCAAGGGGAGACACTCTTCTGCCCACTGAGCCCCGGGCACAAAATCAGGCAGGAAATCTCCAGTTACAGGATTGTGTGTGTGTGAATGATGTATTTGGGTCCCCAGACCTGTGGTTATACCTGTAAGACAGGCGCCCATAGTAGAAGCAACTACTGAATGGACAAACCAGTCTGTTTGTTAAGCTGATGGTCCTAGCCAGCAGCCTCTTAAGAATCCTATTTACATGTCTAAATAGTTGGTCAAGAATAGATGTCATAGAAATACGTAACTAGTGAGTGATGCTTTTTTAGAAGGAGGGGATAAGCCTTCCCCACCAACGTGGTTGGATACCAGGTCATCCTAGGGGTTGGCGATCAATAGACCAGGGGCCTGTGTTGTGTAATCTCACCTAGAGCGGGAAAGACACAGGGGCTGGCCTTGCACTCTGTGCTGAAACCAAAGCTATGGTTTTTGGTGGCGGATTCCTGAAAACCTAGTGGGGCAGCGAGAGCTGATGCTCTGAGCCCTTCCATCTTATGCTCACATTGTGTGTGTGTAAATAAAACCATATATCAAGAAGACACCACAGTCTCCTGTGACTTTCATTCCAAGGGAAACTTAACACAAGGTAATTGTTGGCACCCTTGAAGTCTCTCACTGTTTGGATATTGGGCTGCATGGAACACTCCTTTATCTAGAGCCGAGTCTGGTGACAAAAGCCAGCAGTGGCTACTGGCTATTATGTTTATGCCTTAACTCCACTGTTGAAGTCAGTATACCTCTGAATGCCTGTTGTTGAGATTTGCAAGCGGGGAGAATACTGTTATGCTCAGGCCCTGCTTCTGAGCTTCCCATTGGCAACTGGTTGGCCACTGGGAGGACAGGATGCTGGACTAAATGGGCCTTTAGCCTGATACAACAGGGTTCTTCTTATGTTCCAGATGTTGAAGTCCAGCTCCCATCAGCCCCAGCCAAAATGGAAAATGTTCATGGATTATCGGACCTGTGGTTCACTGACATCTGGAGGGTAAGACAGATTTTCCATTATTGATTGCACTAAGGAACCATAAAATTTTGTTAGCTGAATCTGTGGAATCATGTGGTAATATATCCTACCACCACTACCATCACCACCACCACCAAAACAACCAACAATTTATTATTTATACCATGCCCGAATGGCTGGATTTCCCCATGTTACGTGCTTTTCATTACCTCTAATGAATGGACAGTTTATGGCTGTTGACTTTGGTAGCTGGCTGCTCTTTTAATGTAAGTGGGAAGGACACACATAGCTTGGTGGTAGAGCATCAGCCCTGTTCAGTCCCTGACTTCTCCAGGAAGGGATGGGAATATTCCAGCTGAAACTCTGCCCATCAGTGTAAATGAATCATTGGTATATGGCAACTTCCTATGTTCCTAAGTCCTTCATTTGTCTTCCAGGATGTCCAAGAGGCAACTGGAACATTTCCTCTTTAGAGTGCTCTAGATGGCACCCGAGACAAGACAAGAAGAACCATGTACAATGGAGCCAAGCTGCTGAGTCTCCTGCCAAAAGATGAACAACAGTCTTTCAAGGTTTATCCCTGTACACACCAGCATCAAACCATAGAGCTTCTACCGAGGAAGGAGGCAATTGGCATTGTTTCAGTTTGGGCTTTGAGACACAGAGTTGGCGTTCATCTCCGGCACAGAGGCCTTCTGCTCCTTTGAATGGTCATGTTGGATTTTCCTTGGCTCACCAGGACAGCTCCATCCCTTGCCCAGCGCCCATCATGGCACTTTTGCTGGACAGAGTCCGCGACTTCTCTCCTGGCCTCAACATATCTCCTGGTCTTCTTAATCCATGGATACTAAACCACTCTCAAAGGGATTGTGAGCTAGAACCAGGCTGTGGTGAGCACACGCTGGCTGCTGGCAGCAGCTTCCCGGGGCCAGCTGTCCGCTTTGTGCTGCCCGCCATTTATGCCCTTATTTGTGCTTCCGGTGTTCTGGCCAATGGGATGGTGATTTCGGTCATTCTGGGCTGCAAGCAGAAGGTAGTTTCTGACATCTACATTTTGAACCTGGCGGTAGCTGACTTACTCTTCTTGCTTGGTATGCCGTTTGTCATCCACCAACTTCTGCAGGAGCAAGGCTGGGTTTTTGGAGACTTTCTCTGTTGGGCTGCAACCACCATCGACCTCAACAACCAGTTCAGTAGCGTGGGCATTGTCACTCTGCTGTGTGTAGACAGGTAGGAGCCAAGGTAGAAGAGCGGGATGAACATGGTATGCTAATTCAGAAGCCACTCAGAAGGAGCGCTTGCTTTGCAAGCTGAAAGTCCCAGGTTCAGTTCCTGGCATTTCCAGTGAGAAGGATTGGACTTCAACAATCTGGTGCTTTCCCGATATTTTGGACTACAGCTCCCATCAACCCCAGCCAGCATAGTTGTTGGCTGGGGTTGATGGGAGTTGTGGTCCAAAACATCTGGAAAGCACCAGGTTGGCAAAGACTGCAGTAGGAGATGGTAAATATGTTTGCCTGAAATCCTGGAAAGTAATTCAGTGACACTGGGCCCCTTTGCAGCTGGAGTGCCATGCTTGATCTGGAAGTAACCAGCTGTTTAGGCCTGATTTATGGGAAAGTTATGGCACAGGCAGTAAAGCGGAATAAATTATTGCTGGTATTAACTGTCATTTGGAGAAATCCTTGATATTTGCGGAGCTTCTTGCCCTCTTAAATTATATCCCAGTGGTGTAGAGGCTAACAGATGGATCCTGCAGGGAGAAAACACTTACCACCCACTACCCAGTAGTGTGAAGTCCTCGCTGCCCTTTCTGCATTTGAAACACATGGCTTATTACTGTCAATCTCATTTATTTGTGCGTATTAAGCTATAGGTTTAAGTTAGCTTCGATAGTCTTAATGTCAGCTGGGAAGGTTTGTCTTCCCTTCTGTTATATTTGCAGAAAAAAGGACAGCTGCTCTATTTCCCATCTGATTCTTCCGTTGCAAAGGGCAATCATTTTACACAGCGCATCCCTCCTGCAATAATCACCAACAATGAGTTACCATGGTCACTGTGCACGTTTATTGTGGATATTTGGACATACGCCTTGTCTCCTTTGTGGAATGTGCCGCCCTGTGTCTCCTGTATCCCTGACGCCAGTTCATTTCTCTTTCCAGGTACGTGGCAGTTGTGTACTCGTCCACCATCGGCCAGAAACGGACCCTGCGGTGCACAACTCTGATCAACGCTGGTGTGTGGGCTGGGAGCTTGATTCTGGCCACACCTGCGATGCTCTATGCCCGGGTGCACTGGGACAACAAGACGGAGATCTGCCTCCTTGACTTACCAGGTCCCCACAGTGTATATTGGTATACCCTGTACCAGTCATTGCTGGCTTTCCTGCTTCCCTTGCTGGTGATCACTGTACTGTATTCACTGACTCTGCAGCACCTCTTCCGTGCCATGCGCCGGGTGCATAGGAAGCCATCTGCCCGCAGCCGGAAGGTGACCCGCATGGCCCTCACAATCATAGCTGCCTTTTTTGTCTGCTGGACTCCGTACCACGTGCTGCAGTTGGTCAACCTCAATGCCACGCCCTCTGCCACCTTTTTCTACCTGTACCAGGCTACTATTTGCCTCAGCTACGCCCACAGCTGTGTCAGCCCCATCCTTGTCATTTTCTGCACCGAGTTCTTCCGCGAGAGGATGGCCCAGTCCAGGTGGGGACGAGGAACAGGAGGGGATGTGGTGGAGGGAAAGGGCTAATTCAGTAGAGGGTGACTTCCTGTTGTGAGAAGTGATGTAAATATAGGGGTTTAGCTTTTGCTGCCCAACTCCCCATGGGTCTCCGAGTACCCTAAGTCCATGATCAGTCAGAGAAGAATGGTTGGAGGCAGGATCCAGTGAAATCAAGGCAGATATTTATTTTTCTGTTGCAAAAGAGTTTCCTTCCCTCCTTCCATGGAGAGAGAGACCCTGAACAGAAGTGTGCAGCAACCTTTAAATACTTTTGACATTGCCCAACCACCTAAGCCAAAGACCACCCCAAAATCGTCATACATGCATCATAGGAGGTGGTCTACAGCAGAAATCCTGTATGCCAGGATAAGGGTCGCTGATTGCATTACCTGGGCAGCATGGCAATTCTCTTGTGATGGCTTAATACTTTAGTTCCTGAATCCAGGTCACAGGCTCACCCTATTCATACACAAATACACCTTTAAGACAGGATTTGTAAGAGAAAAGACAATGGGGAGGCTTTCCCCATTTGCCTCCCTTCCAGCAGGGAGTATTTGAGGTCACCAGGAGAGTCAGAATGGCTTCAGGATTGCACTCCTGTACTATTTCAGATACATGGTTTATATATTTAGATATGTGTGCATTAATGAATATATATTTGAGACCTTAAAATTCTTCTAACAGAAGGATGCTGCAAGCTTTATTTTAAGGGTGAAACAGGGAGGGGGAATCTCAGTCCAGCCCTCAGGACTCTCTACAAGCCACGCCACCTCTCCACTTGACACATCCCTCACCAGTCCTGCTTCGCACTCCCCTGGAGTGCTTTTGCCCGGACTGGAATGTATCCTTGAACTCTGACACTGCTTCTTGGCTTGTGGGGAAGGAGGATAAAGAGGGGGGTGTATGAATGGAAACGAGCACCATCATCACCATCGTCATAGTAATAATAATTTGCATACCGCCCTATACCTGTAGATCTCAAGTTAGTTCACGGCATAAAATTACAATTAAAAAACCCCAAAACACATCATAAAAATAAGAACAGAAACAAACCAAAAATTCCCCCTACCACAACACATTTCAAAGCTCATCAGATGTCAGTCAGCTAAAGGCTGGGCTGAAGAGGAACGTTTGTGCCTGGCGCCTGAAGGTGTATAATGAAGACGCCAGCCAAACCTCCCTGAGGACAGCATTCCACAAATGGGGGGCCACTGCAGAGAAGGCCCGTTCTTGTGTTGCCACCCTCCGGACTCTTGTGGAGAGGAGGCACACAAAGACGAGCCTCAGAGGATGATCTCAGTGTCCAGGTAGGTTCATATGGAAAGGAGCAGTCCTTGAGGCGTTGCAGCCATTTTGTTGCTCTGCCCATTCTTGCCTCTGCCTGTGGCCCTTGGAAAATTGCCCAGCAGGGAATGTGGCCCTCAGGTTGGAAAATGTTTCACACTCCTGCTGTGGAGAATGACCTGGGCAGAAGGTCCCATGAACACAGCAGAATGTTCTCCTGAGTCAAAACACACAGGATTGCTTTATGCACATCACTTATTAAATAGATAATGCTTGAGAGATTATCTCTTTTTCTTTACAGGTATTGCAGATTGTTTACCAAGTGGAGGGCAATACGAGAAAGCCATTCCTTATCTATACCAGAAATGACAGCTACGATGTACAGTCCAGAAGCAAGCCATGCTGCGTCTCCATGCATCGCCTGCCCTCCATTTGCAACAGAGATGCCTTTGTGCTCTGTAACCGAGACCACCAGATTCAATATAGTTGTCAATGGACATGAGGAACCTAGTGGATTTTGAGGACCCGCTTTAATTTGGTTTAGATCTCAGCTTGAAACTGGCACACCCTGAAGTTCTGGAAGAGTATTAAGGTGGTGATGAGGGAGAGATACAGACTGGAAGACTCCTGGTTCTGGAGGGCTGTTGTAAGACCATGGCAGCAAGCGGAAAAACTGTTAGTGACGACTAATAAGACAAGGGACATTGAGCGAATTAAATGAAACAATAATTCACTTTGTCTGGAAGTCAATGCGCCTGTTCTGTTTCAGTCTACAAGAACAAATTAATTGTCCTGTAAATATCATTTGTTGTAATATCCGTCCTCTAATCTATTGACTGCTCTTGCCAAGGTGTTCCCTTGAACAAAAGAGAAATCTATCAAGTTGATGGAACTTCTATACGATGGACACATTAGACCAGAGCACTTAAAAGTGCTTATTTATCTATCTTACTTGTTAGTTGGCCATGTTCAACCAACCTGATCCTAAAATCAAGTTTCTCCTATCACAATTCCTTCTGTTACCTTAGTAGTTCTCGCGTGGTCAGAGTATGAAATGAGGATGTGCTATCTGAAATGCTTTCTCATTCACTGGTGCTAGGTTTGCAAAAAGGTTTGCAATTTGCAAACAAAATGGTAAACAGATAAGGGGCTTTATTCAATCCATACACAGAGCAGACCTTTTGCAATTAATGGCCATTGCTAACTTAGGCTGATTAATTGCAATGGATCTACTCTGAGTAAAACTCGGTTGGATACAACCCAAAGATACCCTGCATCTTACATTCCAGTGACACATTAACAACTAGTGCCTGGGGATGCTTTCCCCCTCCTTTCTCCCCATTCCTTTTCCCTTGTGTGTCATGTCTTTTAAACTGTAAGCCTGCAGAGGTGTCCTAATCTTTTCTCCATCTAAATCCCTCCCCTTAGCTTCTGTTAGGACAAATCTACAATGGTGACTTATAACGTTAAGAATACATTATAAAAATGGGACACCAGAGGACACTGTAGAGCAGTGATCTGTCGCTGATGGGAAATTGGATTGGGAGGAATATTTTTCTTAAAGTGTTGGGTTGTTTTTTAACAGCGTTTTCCAGATCAGTGTAGATCCAGCCTCAGTCTCCTTTGGTAAGGAATACACACAACTGTATCTTTCCCATTACAGGGTTAATAGCAGCTTGCGGGGAGGTGTTGGGGGGTAGATTGAAAAAGTAATCCAGGGACAAAGAGATAAAAATCCTCCCCTAGGTCTGATGTTCATTAAAATCAGAGCTGCAGCTTGTGGCTGCTTTAGACAGTACAGTGGTACCTCTGGATGCGAACAGGATCTGTTCCGGACCCCATTCACATCCTGAGTAAAATGTAAGACGCGACAGCGCGTCTGCGCATGCACGGGTCGCGTTTTGCCGCTTCCGCGCATGTGCATGACGTCATTTTGAGCGTCTGTGCATATGTGAGCGGTGAAACCCGGAAGTAACATGCTCCGTTACATCAGGGTTGCCGCGGAGCATAACTTGAAAACTCTCAACCTGAAGCACATCTAACCGGAGGTATGACTGTAATCGTATACATATCCACTCTGAAGATACAGGACAGAGGAAAGAAAGTAATTCCTTACAGAGCACATAATTACACTGTGGATTTCAGTCTCAGAAGAAGTAGTAATGTCCACCAACTTGGATGGCTTCAAACGAGGATTAGACAACTTCATGGACGATAAGGGTACTAGCTCCAATGGTAATGTTGTACCTTCTCTATCAGAGGCAGTATGCAGGAAGAGTGCTGGTCCTGTTTTTGTGTTGGGAAAAGCATCTTTGTCTCCAGGCACTGCAGTTGTCTGCAAGAGATTTCCACATGGTAGGGTTAATGTGATAATTTTGATGATAACAGAATGCTAAGAAGGTAGTATGGGCTCTAACGCTTCAGCCTACAGGTGGATGATGTCGTTTTTTAATGCTCCCATAAAAGTGTGGGGGGGGGGACCCACTCCTTGCAAAGAGGAAATTAGCACAACAGGTAAATGTCTGCTAGAAGGCAGTTAGAATATGCAAGTTTTCTATTTGCAGGTGATTAAAAAAGAAAAAGTGTGGGGGTATTAAAAAAAACTGTTGCAGGTCTATTATACCACCTCAGGGGGAAAGAACAGTCATGTATCCCAAACGGTGCTGGAAATGGTTTGAATGCAAGCCATCAATGATAATAATGATGATAATAACGTTACAAACAGGAAACTGGGACTTATGTTCACATGTGGTGGGGGTGTAAATATGTACAATTTTTTTTGCGAAGGGTGTTTAAGGAGATAACAGAAATCACTGAGTTAAAGCTGATCGAAAGTCTAGAGGTAGCATTATACCAGTTTATGATGGGGTGGAAGATAAACAGCCTAGGAAGGAATGGCTCACAAATTTATTGACAGCTGCACCAGTTGTTATAGCAAGGAAGTGGAAGGGGCAAAGGTGAATAGAAAATGGAAGAATGGTATAAAGAGGTGTGGGATATAGCTTTTAATGATAAATTAATGTGCTATTAAGGTAAGATGGGGAATATGCAGGAGAAATGATTTTGAGGAGATAGTGAAGGTGTTTGTAGAATTTGTACTGTTAAAGTGGAAAGGGGTCAAACCATCGCAAGAGGTGTTGAAATTTTTGGAGGTTGGATAGTTGCAATGCAATGGTCTCTGGGGTGGGGTGCACGTTTTTATTCTTATTTATTTATTTATTATTTGTCAAAATAAAAATAATTTTTTTTTAAATAAAAGAAGCAACAATAATGCAACCTGACCCGTCTGCGTAGAAGCAAGCCAACCAGCAGGGCTTACTCCCAGGCAAATGGGGAATATGCAGGAGAAATTATTTTGAGGAGATCTGGAATGTGTTTGCATAATTCGTACTGTTAAAAAGGAAAGCGGGTCAAACCACCGCAAGAGGGGATGAAATTTTGGGAGGCGGGGTAGTTACAATGCAATAGTCTCGGGGGTGGGGTACACGTTTTTATTCTTATTTATGATTACTACTTTGTCAAAACAATAATAAAAAATACTTTTTTTAAAAAAAAAGAAACAACAATAATTCAACCTCACACGTCTGCTCAGAAGCAAGCCACCCAACGGGGCTTACTCCCAGGTAAATGGGCAGAGCCCAATAAAGCATAGCTGTCAACTTTTCCCTTTTCTTGCGAGGAATCCTATTCGGAATAAGGGAAATTCCCTTTAAAAAAAAAGGGAAGCGTTGACAGCTATGCAATAAAGTTGCTTCCACTACGCGGAGGGATGTAGTAAATTCCTCCACAAAGCCGTCGAAGACGCTCGCCCGTTTTAAATGCCTAAGCGGAACCTTCCGGCTCCGCCGCGCCGGGAAGCTGTTCGGGGGGGACCCATTTCCGCGCCGGACCGGAAGTGCCCGCTGCCATCACATCACCGGGTTGCCCCACCGAGTGAGGGTTGCCGTGACAGCGGCGGACTCTCCAGTCGGAGTTCCCAGGCGCTCGTTGCTTGGAGCGGAGGCTGGTCGCTCGCTCGCCCGCTCGGCCTCGCCGTGTCCCCCGGCGCCTTTCGACCAGGCCTCTCCTCCGGCCTCGGGTGGCTTCCATGGAGCGGGCGGCCGCTATGACGGACATGTACGACCAGGCGCTGCTGGGCATCTTGCAGCATGTGGGGAACGTCCAGGAGTTCCTGAACATCCTCTTCGGCTTCTTGTACCGAAAGACCGACTTCTACCGGCTCCTGGTGCAGCCGGCCGACCGGCTAGGCTTCCCTCCGGGGGTGGCCAAGTGCATGGCGCTGCGGGTGAGTCCGAGAGGCTGGGGCTCCTCGCCCATCTCCCTTGCCCCTCACTCAAAATGAAGAGTCGTTTGTTTTTGTTTCATACGAATCCTTATTTAGGTAGCCATTTCCGGGAGGTTTAACTCTCTCTGTCAGCAAAACGAAACAAAAAAAACCCAGCACAGTCCCTGCGGGGAATCTCTGAAGACTCCATAAAGATTTATTCTGGAATAATAATAATATATTTATACCCCGCCCATCTGGCTGGGTTTCCTCATCCTCTCTGGGTGGCTCCCAACAGAATACTAAAAACACGATAAAACACCAAACATTTAAAACTTCCCTAAGCAGGGCTGTCTTCAGATGTCTTCTAAAAGTCAGATAGTTGTTTATTTCCGTGGCTTTTGTAGGTGGAAGGGAAGCTTTAGTCCACGAAGCCGTATGCTATGGAGTTTCTTGTGGTGGGTTCTATGGGAGCGGATTGTTTTCTGTCCGCATATGGGTAAGGAATTATAGGGTGTTTCTTGAACAGTTACAAGGTAGGTTTGCCTTTCAAAACAACAACAAAATGCGTCCAAAGTCGCTTGGAGACAAGTGAGTATGAAGGCCTAATAAAGAATAACAAATCAGACCATTTTTAAAGCTCTGCAGTAGTTGATCTGTTGTTTATACAGATATTTGTTGCACTGTGAGATGTTTCCCCCCCTGGCTTCAATGAATTTAGGGTTATCTTTTTCCACCCTCGTTTTAATAATCGCAGCATCCCAGTGGGGGTACATTAGGCACAGTGTAAGAGAAGGGTGTGTGTGTGTGTGTGTGTGTGTGTGTGTGTGAGAGAGAGAGAGAGAGAGAGAGAGAGAGAGAGAGAGACAAGAGACACAGAGAGACTGGCTCAAAGTGAGCTTCATGCCTGAGTTGGGTTTCGAACCTGGAGCCTTTCCAGTTCTAGCCCAACATTAACAACTACACCGCATTCCGCAGGAGTAGCTGCGTCAGTTTGTCACAGCAAACTCAACAAACAGTTTCTAGGGTGCCACAGACTCAGAATTACGCTGCTATATTTTTTGGGCTAGAGCCCACTTTCATGCATAAAGTATAATCCTTAGGTGGCAGATATATGCCTGTTTCAGTTTTATTTCCCCTCTTCACCTGAAGCAATTCCCATGATGGCTTACATAAAACAAAACAGAATTAATTTCCTTTCTGACACATTGCCCTACGATGGCATTGTCACTCCAGTCCATTCACATTCCAATCCCAATCTTTATTAGATTGATAAGAATTAGATTGTGGTTTTTTTAATCCTCTTTTAGCTCACCTTGCTCACCCACCTTTGGCAGTTGGGTGCTTGGTTCCCTGGATGCAAAATTCTTGCTCTTTATCCGCTGTCTTAAGTGTAGAGTTAAGTGCAACCTTTTACATGCCTACTCCCATATAAGTGGGTATAAGGTTGCAGCCTTAATTAATTAAATTTATAATGTGCCAGAAATGTAAAGTGACTTTCTCTGTCATCTCCATAAACATAAATAAGACTAAAAATAATTGTAAATTGCACCAGCTGTACTCTTTTTTGAGGAGTATGGATGCTCTTCTCCCTTCTCACAGTGTATATTGGTATAAATATAGGATATCCCACATTCTTAAGGGGCTAAATCAGTGAAACAATGAGACCCAACATTCTCTTGCAAGATCTTAGTGATTCCAAAATATAATTAAGAATCCCTCTCCTTTGTGGTTTATTGGATGGTGGATATACAATGGCTTTGTATACATGACTTGAATTAAGAGGCGTCTGTGGCAAAAGTCCAACCTTTTTCTGTGACATAAGAGACTGTTTTTAAAAAAGGATCCATTATTAAAGTTGAATATATCTTAGTTAAGGTAATAACAATGCATTTGAGCGAATTATTATTATTATTTAAAGTTAATGTACGGTACCAATAAATTTACTTAAGCCCATTGACTTCATTGGGTCTGTTTCCAGGTATGACTAACATTGAAAATCACCTTTGATTTCTAGAACTGCTTATCTTTTTAGCATTAGAGCTCTAAAGAGTTCTGTAACCAAACTAGAGAAAAGTTAATTCTGAAGTTTTTAAAATTTCTCACCAGAAGAGCTTTATTTTTGATAACTAGAAATAAAAGCTGTGTTAGGGCTTCTTTTACTTCCTTGTAGGAGTATGATTAAATAAAGTTTTCTTTTGCACCCAATTCTAAATTGAAAAGGTGCTTTCTTAATTTCATCTCTCTCTCTTTCACTCACTCTTGTCACACCCACCCACACACCCCTTTACTTTTAAAAGAGAGGGAGAAGATCCCAATGGCAAGTAGTGGGACAGAAGCATTAATTAGCTGTTTTTCCTGCATTGACCCTTCCTTAGATCCCATTACTGCTGTCATGTAGCTGTTTTCCAGGCTTGTTCTGCTTCCTAGATTCCCAGGTTTTCTTGTATAAAATCTGATGAAAATGCAGCAGGCTTTGGCTTTTTCACTGCACACTACAGGTTGCAATTTGGAACTGGAGTATGGTTTTGCCCACATCTTACTCATGTATCTTTTTTACATGCATTTGTTAATGCTGTCTCAGACAGAAGTCTGGCCCTCAGATTGACATCCACTTCAGCCTGACCTCTCCAGTCTATTCTTGGAACAGTTGACTGTTCTAGAATGGCTATTGAATTATTTTTGTCAGCTGCTTTCTAAAAACTGGGCATCAGAAGCATGAATAGATTAAACACTTAGATCCAAGTGTGTTTGTGAAATAACTGACCCTGTGTGCGTGTGGCTATGAGACGGGTGGAGATGTTTTTGTTCAACGTCTCGTTCCGATGGGGGTGGGAATTAACGCATGGCAATTAGACAGGAAGCTGAGCCTGCTACAAGTGGAGTGCTGCATATTTGTTCTTCCTCACCCTCATCCCTGTGGCAGTTTAGATGGCCCTTGTTATTCTCTTAAAATCTGCATTTTATCTTCTCTATGAAGGACTTTGCCCAGCTTAGAAATGAGGTGGGCTGCTAGAGGAGGGACAGAGTGCTATGTCCTTTTTCCTGTAACCTCACTTAAGTGAACTCAGGTAACTCCTTGTTGTCTATAGTGACCAGGCAGGTGGTTGCATACAAGGCTATGAGAAAAGGTGTTGCAGGTACGTGTCATTACGTTTTAATTTTATAGGGGTAGCTAAACAGGTCTGTTGTACCGAACACACACAACAAATACTGTTGTGGCATTTTAAAGATACTACTTGTATTTTTTATCTATGGCCCTGAGTTTTTGTGAAAGCCCTACAGCAGGGTCCATGAGCCTAACTGAAGAACCAGGCCTTCTTATTTGGTCTGCAAGGCCATTTTGGCCAAGCTATGCCCACCTCCCCTATGCCTGAGGTAATGTGTGGGGTAGGTAGCAAGCAGAAAGGGGCTTTCCAGGCACTGTTGATGAACCTGCAAAGGGTTCTGCAAGACCCAAGTATCATCTGTTGGGTCTTGTGGAGAGCTTTGCAAGGGGCTTCAGAAGACCTGACAAATAACTGGTTGGTCAATATTTTAAGGCTTTTCACAATATGGTGCTTTGCAAGGCCCTCAGCAAGGTTTTCAGGTCCCTTGCAGAGTGCTTGACAAGGTTGTCGGGTATTCCAAAGAAAAGTGTGGGCTCAAAGAAAGGTCACCTGCCATCACTGTGGTGCCAGGTGAGTGCCAATGAAGGGTGAGGCTTTTTTCTTTTTCTATTACATTTTATTGTAATTCATATTTGGTGTTAGCCGCCCTGATCCCAGCCCTGGGCAGAGAGGGCAGGGTATAAATAAAAATTGATGATGATGATGATCTGGCCTGCTGACTGTGTCCAGTCCCCCACCACTGCCCTACAGCATCTCACTAGAAGTTTATGTTTGGTATAGTTCTTCTTTCCGCATAATTTCCCATTCTTCAATGATAATTAATACTGTGGGCTGATTGTCCTTCCAAAGCTTCAGCACTTGTTTTGTTAGAAATATAAATGGCTTTGTTTCTGTAGGTTATCCACGAAGCAGTCTGTTTCAAGGAGCAGTTCTGTCACTCCTCTGAAAAACAAACAAACCACCCTTTCCATCCATTCTCTTATGGTTATCTATAGGTTAATGGTTGGGTTGTTGCTTTGTTTGCTGTATCACTTTCAGGCTTTCAAAAACTTTGAACACCTGGCCCGCCAAGATGATGACAGAAGACAGCAAGAACTTCAGGAAAAAGTGAAGAAAAGAGAGGAGGACATGGCAGCTGCAGGAGAGAGAGTGAAGGTGGTGCCAGCTGTAGCTGAGGAGGTTGAGATCAGTGCAGCAGTGGGTGATGACTCTGTATCGGAGGGTGGAAAGGCTACAGAGTCACAGGAGCCCGTGGCAGTGGAGGAGAAAGTAGATGCACAAGCCGCCAATGCAGCCGTGGAGCCACCGGAGGCTGTTGCTGCCCCCTTAGAAAGTCAGCCAGCAGAGCTGCCCAGGTGAGTGACCACTATGGTGCTTTGACCTCGTCGAACATTTTGCTGAAGAGAAATGAACTGGCAATGTATCTACCGTATTTTTTGCTCCATAAGACGCAACTGACCATAAGACGCACCTAGTTTTTAGAGGGGGAATGCAAGAAAAAAAAATTCTTTAAAGGGAGTGCTGAGCAGAGCCTGTATGCATCCCAGGCTCTGCTCAGCGCTCCCTTTCACGAGCCGCACGGAGTCAGTGACAGGTGCCCTTCTCCCTCCTCGGGGAAAAGCCCCCAAGAGCCGCACACACGCTCTGTGTGGCTCTTTAAAGGGAGTGCGGCTCTTGGGGGCTTTTCCGGGAGGTGGGGGAAGGGACTGAGGGGCTATCCCAGAAGCTAGAACAGCAAGAGGGAGCGCTGCCCTGAGGAGGCTTTGCATGGCTTAGCCGCGCAGCCTGCATTCGCTCCATAAGACGCAGACACATTTCCCCTTACTTTTTAGGAGGGAAAAAGTGTGTCTTATAGAGCGAAAAATATGGTATAATATCGCTTAGCCTGTAGGCTTGGAACAGGTTCAATTTTCTCAAGAGGGCCACTAGGGGAACATGTTTATCTGTGAGCAAGGGGCCTCGGTGCTATTTCAATGGATGAAGCTATGCAGCAGCCTTTTGGATATATACAGAAATGTGCTAACAGTTAAGCCTTCATGTGGCTGTTTCTCGCACGGTGGCATCAGCCATGGGCCTGGCAGCCTATTGCTTGGAAGAAACAGGAGCATTGTCTGTGCAACAGAATGCAATGGTAAATGGCAGAGGTGGTGGAATAGATGGCATTGCTCCACCCCTGAGTTGCAGAAGTTCTTCAGTGTCTCAGGTGGAGTTCTTTCCCATCACCTAGTACTTTAAAAAAAAATGGAGAAGCCAAGACTGATCTTGAGACCATCTGCAAGGAAAGTATGTTCTCTACTATTGACCTATGGCCCTTTTTCACTTCTGAATGTAGGTGCAAGATTCATGCTTTTGAATGCTCTCCCACAACAAACTCACTACTGTAGGTAGAAAACCAGCAAAGCTGACAAAGGGCTGTGCTGGAATCTCCCTCCTTGATGTATTAGATTTCTTTTATCAAGGCAGCTTTTTTTCTGTATGAGTAAACATCTAAAAGATTTTTCACTGGGAGTTTAAAGTGGTGTGGCCTGTTCTCTTGTATGTGTAGACTAGGCTTAAACGAGAGGCTGCCACAGAGTATGTAAATCTTGGTGAGAATACTCTATGGAATTTATTTGATGTACACTTGCCAAACTAGTTATATCACCACAAGTAATATACTGGCCTGTGGTGGCTTTAGGGAGAAACCTTGCCTAATTTGTAAGTATTGGGGAACCTGCTGTCTATTATGTGCTTGATATGTGCATTTTCTTGCTCTTCTTGCTGCTCTTCATTGTAGGTGAAACCCAAAAGCTGAACATTTATTTTGTTTATTTTTCAATAGAATTTCTAGCTTTTCCAGAGATAACTTGTGTTGCTGACTGATTCTTAAATATCTCCACTCGTCTCTTAACACCCATGCCTGGTTCCCATCACTTACATTATGTTTCTCTGAGTTTCTGCTAATATAAAGATGGGTCTGGGAAGATGCTTTCAATGTTTAAAGACTAATCACCTTGGAAATAGTACTTCAGAGTGGAACTAAGGCAAATTATGTCTAATTTTGTCAGGTAGACACTCATTAGCCTTGGATGAATTTTTTGTGATGTGTTAGGGAGTTTTGTATGTGTGCTACAGACAAAAGTATATTGGAAATTTAATTTTTGAAATGCATTTTTTTACTGACATCCCAAGCTGCTTGTGCTAGCAGCAGAATTTGACACAGCTGGTAAGTGTATTTCTCAAGGTACTGATAACTTAAAAGCTTTTGTGTACTGCCATATAAGTCCTTTGTTGGTAGTCTAATCACTTAGGAAGGCAAGGTGAAATGAGGCTCCGTATCAGTTTGATGGCATGGCTGCAGGATGGGGGAAGCTTTACTGCCATGGGAATCCCTTAAAATCCTGACGTCCATTGTAGACATTGCACTTCCTGTTGGTTTGGAAAGGCAGCTTGCCGAAAGCCAGATACCACCAATCTCTGCATCCCAAACACTGAACAATATGGTTTCACAATTGCCTGTGGAGTGTTGGAATGGGTTTAGCATCCTACATGGGGAAAAGATCCTGTTGGGCACCATTTTCTAGTGTTAGTGTATGAGAGGATGGAGCATTTTTACTCTGGAAGCAAAGCAGTGTTTAGCATAGTGATGACGAGTGTGAGCTAAGAGCTGGTCTCCAGATCTTGCCTTGGCCATTGGTGTCATCTTGGGAAAACCACTGTTCTGTTTGAAATATGATCAACCCACCTTATTAGGGTTTTTAAAGAATTACTGAGGCTGTATGTGTGGAGCAGGCTTTTTGAAGGTGTGAAGTGTGCTATATGAATCATGGCTGCTCATCTGGGTAGCAGTGCTGTCCCTTTGATCTGCCTTTAGCCAGCCCAAACATCACGATCTGGCGATACACTGCAATGTTGAAATGAGCTGCATTGTTCCCAGCCTGCGATTTGTGGGGTGAAACTGCTGCAGCTTTCACTGCGGGAGCTGAGGTGCTTTCACCCCAGAGCCTTGGGGGCAGGGACAATGCAGCTTGTTTGCACTGCTCAGCCGGGGGGCGGGAAGGCTCCCACTCTGCAGCTGAGCGAGCCCCAATGTCTCCCTGGCAGCTGCGTACCCCTGAACAGAGAAGTGTAAAGGAGCCACCTCCCCAGCTCATGCAAGCTGGAGGAGAGGTGGGGGCCGATGTAGCTTGTTCCTCCCTCAGTGGTAGGAGGGCCAGAGTTTAATGGCTGCTTTACCCATGGTCTATTGCGGGTGAAACTGCCGCTGCTCCTGAGTCCTTTTGCTGCCAGCACCCGGCTGCAGCTTGTTTGTCCCTCACACACTTGGTGCTGATGGTAGAGAGATTCAGTAGCGGTGGTTTCACCTGCAATATACCAGCAGGTGAAGCAGCCATCAAGCTCTGGCCCTCATACCGGTCCTGGGTATTGATACATTGTCCAGGCCTAGTATTCAGTAAAGGGAAAGGTAAAGGTACCCCTGCCCGTACGGGCCAGTCTTGGCAGACTCTAGGGTTGTGCGCCCATCTCACTCAAGAGGCCGGGGGCCAGCGCTGTCCGGAGACACTTCCGGGTCACGTGGCCAGCGTGACATCGCTGCTCTGGTGAGCCAGAGCCGCACACGGAAACGCCGTTTACCTTCCCGCTAGTAAGCGGTCCCTATTTATCTACTTGCACCCGGGGGTGCTTTCGAACTGCTAGGTTGGCAGGCGCTGCGACCGAACAACGAGAGCGCACCCCGCTACGGGGATTCGAACCGCCAACCTTTCGATCGGCAAGCCCTAGGCGCTGAGGCTTTTACCCACAGCGCCACCCGCGTCCCAGTATTCAGTAGGGTTATATTAATGAATCACTACACCAATAACAGAAGATTCCCTAAACATACAGCTTTTGGCCAATAATGTCTTCATCTTGTTTAGCTAATATGCAGGTGTTTGCTGCTGAAAAGTTCAAGAATTGTGTGCAGAGATGTGCCATCCAACTTTTCTTGCAGAACTGCTGTAGTTGGTATAAGCTTGCCACTGGGTGGTGTTGGCATCCACTAAATGGATAACATAGACTCCAAAGCATATTGAAGAATATGTGAGGTCTCTGAGGTTTCCCTCCAGACAAAATTCACTGCTGAGAGCTTGGCTAAGCAAGATGCTATGATGTTCATTTCTAGCAACAAATGGATGGAAATTGAAATTCTGCAATAGTATTTCAAACTCTCAAACATGAAGACAACATAGTTTTCCCAAGTCACATCACCCAGAAGTTGAAACATGTCTCTAATATACCATCTTGCAAACTGTGAATAAGATGAACATTATTAGTCTTCATCTGGTATGTAGATGACGTGTGCTTATGTCTTTGCTGCTTATTTTGTACAAAAAGTCAGTATACTTGTTCTTGTAGTTTCAGGAATATGGTGTTTTCTTCAAATGCGGGGTATGTTTTGATGGTAGAAAGAAAATAATAAGTAGTAATGTGTTTGCGGGAGCAGTAATATGTGGAGGTGCATCATTTATTCCTGCATTTCAGGGAGTTAGACTAGATGACCCTTGTATAGAACTCTACAATTCTATGATTCTACTATTTATATGTGTACGAGTGGTGGTAGCTCCTGGGCTGAAGGTCAAATGCCCAAATTTCTCTCATTTTTCTAACATTTAACCAAAACAATCCCCATGTACTTTCTAGCCCTTTCTGTACAAATCAGGTTCTAGCACGATAAAATATGCATTCAGTGAAAACTGAATTAGTTTGTTAGTTGAAATGCCTTAATTACTGCCACTTTCAGTAATTGTGATGGAATGTCTTTCCAGGCCAAATCAAATATACAGGTAGAGTACAAGAGCAGCTGGCTAAAAGCGTTTGGACCTTTGTTAACACCTTACACAAATGTGCACAGCCCCTGTGCAGGATGCTCTTTCTTATCTCCCAAAACGTCCTTATTTCTTTCGAAAGAGGGTGGGTTTGTATGTTTTTCTAGAACTTAGAAGCACAGAAGTGGTGATAAATGTGTGTGCCGTATCACTTGACTCGGAGAAAACCATAGATCACATGTTTTGGATGCAAAAGATCCCATGTTCGATCCCTGGCATCTCGAGATAGGAATGGAAGAGACTTCTGTCTGAAATGCTGAAAATCTGTCAGTCAGTCTAGACAATACTGATCTAGATAGACTTGGTACAGGTAGAATCTAAAATTTAAAACCTTTTGTGTTCACCCGTGTTCTTCCTCCTGGAAGATGGCAAGAATGAAACATGAGTCTAATCTCAAAGTAGATTTTTTCTCATGCAATATGCCAACAAAGTAATCATAACCTGGCAGCTATATAGAGGCCTCTCATTATCACAAGACACATACAATGTAGTCTTTCCTCCTCCTCCCTTCT